ATGCGTTGTAGTCCAAACGAGTCGTTCGTTGTAGTTTTTGAAAAGTGATTTCTGTTGAATAAAACATCTCCTTTTGAAGTGGACTTTGAGCTTTGTAACTTCGCAGATCTTTTTTATGCTCAAACAGCAACATTACAGACTAACTAAAGTTGAAAAAGTGAAAAAGCATAATAGGACCCCTTTAATTTGAAATGTCAACAGCAGAAAACTGCTGGACTGCGATCACATGTAATGCTGTTCATGTTTTCCCATCGTCCTGTCGGCGTTCATCAAGATATATATCAGAGGTCATCAGTCCAGCATAAATCAGGTTCTGAACTCGAGCGTTTCGTTCGAGTGTCTTTATAATGACTGACCCTTATTACTGGAGGAAATGCTTTCAGACGCTGATGCAGCGGTGTTCTTTTTACACCAGTTTGGCTTCCCGTCCCAACTCCAAACAGCAGCTACAGCTGAGTGTGTGCTCCTCTTTTTCTCTGAATAGCATCTTTATTTACAGTCTCAGTTAGGCTGATGAGAACTGGCCCGGTTTGTAGGACACACACCGATGCGCTCATTACCGGCAATAACAGCCCATTTAATGCTTGTGCCCTTATTTTTTTACACTCCCAAAGGAAATCTTTATTGTTCGCTTGCTCGTTCACAGCATGCACGTATGAACTTCTCCACTAACGGAAAGTTTCGAGCTACAGAATTAACGTGGACAGCAGCTCAGATCATTTGATTTCAGCAGAAATGTTTGAGTTCATTTTAAGACTTTTGGAAGATTGTTGAAATCTTTGCTGGAACTTTAGAAACATCCGAGAAGCAGAAGACTTAAAACCCCACTTGCTCTCCATTTACTGTATCTAAGAGAAACAGTTGATATATGAAAGTGAACATTTTTAAAGGAGAGCCAAATTAATAAAACACATTTTTTAAAATATTTTTACAAACAACATTTTACAAATTTAATGTTTTTGAAGAAGTCTCTTTTCATACATTTACATATTTTATAAATAAAAATATATGTAAATGTATTTATAAACAAATACATTATATAAAAATAAATGTATTTATAAATAAATAAATTAATAATTATACTAAAGTAAATTTGACAGCCACAAATATATATATATATATATATATGTTTAAATAAAAAATAAATAATACAGAAAAGGCATTTATAATTTCATTTCGAGATTTTTATTGATTATTTCAAGTGTTAAAAACATCTCCCTTACTCCCTTCATGTTAAGGGTCAATTTGACTATATTATTTTTGTTTATAAATTTATTGATAAACAAATAAATAATATATAAAATGTATTTATACATACAGTATATACATACATAAACAATTATACTAAATACAATAAATAAATAATACAAAAATAAATGTATTTATAAATAAATAAATAAAAATTTTATAAATTTTATAATAAATAAATTCAGGAAAATAATTTATAATGTCATTTATAATTTAATTTCATGATTTTTATTGGTTATTTCAAGACAATCACACTTCTTTTTAAAGCAATTTAAGAACAAAAACACATTAACTGAATTATCATCAATGAAAATATGAGATAAAAATGTTTTCAATCAGTACATTGAAACAACAATAAATGTCAATGATGCATAATTTTCATAATTTGACCTTCTTAAAAACTGTTTAAACGGGTTTGCAGTTGTTATTTTGTAACGTTTGAGTTTCCATAACCAATCATTTTCCAGATCAGGATCAGTGAAGGGGCCAATCAGATTTCAGCTCCCTCCCGATGCCCCGCCTCCTCTGTCTCTCTTTGTGTTTTCCCTGTGAACTCTGAACGTCTTTCCCAACAGACAGTTTAAACATGTAGTGCTTTCTCAACATGACATGCTGTTTTAGTGAAAGCGTCTGCTGTTTGTTATAGTTTCGGTTAACCTGCTTGTTCGCTCCATTAATCGTCTTCCTCCTGTGGGACGCCCCGGAATAAACTCTTACTAGAAGAAGAAACTAATGCGTGAATATTAGGATATAAATCTGCACATAAGTGTCACGTGCGAGACATGTGGCGCCACCTTTAGGTCGGGCTGAATGGTTTCGCCTGTAGATTAAATATTAGGTGTGACTGGTAACATATGTCAGGAGTTTAACTCTCTGCAAGGCCCATAAAGTCAGTGTAGACACGAGGAAAGCATCTAGATGTCAAAAAGGCTTTAATTTGAGAAACGTTACAGCAGTAATTGACCGACCCTGTGAGTCGAGGCAGCCGGAGAGGCATAAGATGAAGCCGAGTCTCTCAGGAATTTCTCCTGTTCGTTCTGAGTTACAGCAATTAGAGGAACATTAATAATGCAAGTAATTTTTAACTCCCTTATTATGTAGAAACATGGGTACTACTGATGTTTTTGGGGCAAACTGACCCGCATTGGTTTCCATGCAATTCACCCAAAATTGACACTTTGAAAAAAAGAAAAGAAAAAAAAAATCTATATAAATAAATATAAATTTATTTGTAAATAAATAAATACATTTATAAAAAATGAACATAGTTATATTAAATTAATTTGACATCCACACTAAATAAATAATATATAAATGAATGAATGAATGAATGAATATAGTTACACCCTTCATGCTAAGGGTCAGTTTGTCAAACAATAAATAAATAAATTGTAAGCAACAAACAAACAAATAAATAAATACATAAATACATAAATAAATAAATAAATGTTGTATTAAAAATAGTTACACCCTTCATGTTAAAGGTCAGTTTGACAAACAAACAAACTAATAAATAAATAAATAAATAAAATCAACAGCCACAATAAATACATAATATATAAACAAATATTTATAATTAAATTTATACATTTATACACCCTTCATGTTTAGGGTCAATTTGACCCACATATTTTTGTTTAAAATTAGCTGCGCGGACACAAAATAAAGAAATTTCCTTCTTTTTTTTTATTTTTATGACTGCTTGTAGTGACAATTTGCACACTGCAAGTGACTACAACTAAATATAAATAGTATCTAACATTAATTGTACTTGGTGTAAATAGTATTTATCGCTATTTGTACTTGGTGTAAATAACCTGTCTTTTTCTTATGTCTGTTTTCAAAACCTTGTGAGGATGAAATGGGTTTCTCGTGCTTATTTTCAGTGCTGAAACAGACTAGTAAAAAAAAAATATGAACAACCAAAAACATAATTTCACATTCATGACCGAAAATAAGAAGACACCAAATTTCAAGAAGAAATAAATAGTTTAAATTAGAAATTCGAATGTGGGTCAGATTGACTCAAACACACAACATGAGGGTTAAATGTGTGTTTGCATTATGATTAACACAGATGCATATAGAGCGTGACTGATGGCACTTTTAAGACCTTAAATTCTTATGTATGCATTTATGAAAGATGGCATGCAAACTCTTTTCCTTCAAGCTCTGGGAACAAGTGGGATGAACGGAAAAGTTTAATGGCACTGAACAGAAGTGTTTCTAACGTTTGACTGGAGTCACACACCATTAGAGCCGGACAGAAACCATATATAACTTAAATATTTCACATTAACCACATTTAATCAATCCAGAAACCCTGAGAGCTGTGATTTATAACCAGACGAGTGATTTGAAATGCATATTAAGGGCATTTTTGTTCTTGAAAAGCTCCTGAAACATTCAGCTGTTGCTCGTGGCTTTACAAACAGCCAAACAGGAGAGCAGAAGCGTCCGATCTTCCAAGAAAGAGGGATTATGAAAGGACAGAAGTCTGTCTCGTGACATTTTTCCTGCATGGTTCTGACGGTCTGCAGATGTGTTGTGTTGGACTCCGTCCTCCTTCAGATTCCTGTCACTCCCTTCGGACACGGGAAGCACAGGGACACAATTTCAGGAAGTTTGTTTTGGCCTCGGCGGAAAGCCATATTATGGTTCTGCGTCATGTATTTTTAGTGCACCCGGCACCACTGAATAAAAATGTAAAAAAAAAAAAACACTTTTTGTGACTTTTTCTCACAATTCTGACCTTTTTCTTGCCATTCTGAGTAATTAATGTCAGAATTGTGAGATTTAAACCTATTCTGAGAATGAAAGTCAGAATTGTGAGGAAAAAATTCCAAATTTAATTAAAAAAAAAAACAATTTAGTGAAATTTGCGAGAGGTCACAATTGACTTTTTTTTAATTTTTTTTATCCACTACAAAGTTGAAATTGTGAGATATAAACTCAAAATGGCAAGAAAAAAAAGAGTCTCAATTAGCCTTTTTTGAAAACCTGTTTCCATAGATTTGATGTTTCGTTGGAAGTGTGGATTTGAACTTATAAGCTATAGATCAAATCTCTCTCTTTTTTGTATAACAATATTGTTCATTTGTTGCACCAATATTAATCAAATGGGAATTTTAAATACTAAATTGCAAAAAAAAAAGAAAGATAGAACAAACTAATGAACTCATTAAAATAAATTTAAAAAATAAAGTTTTGAGTTGCTAAGATTTGTTTTATTTAATGTTTTTGAAAGAAATTTATTTGATTAAAATTGTGAAATATTATTACAATTTAAAACAGCTGTTTTCTATGTGAATATCTGTTAAACTGTAATTTATTTCTGTGATGCGCAGCTGTATTTTCAGCATCATTACTCCAGTCTTCAGTGTCACATGATCTTCAGAAATCATAATAATATGCTGATTTATTAGAAACATTTCTGATTATTATCAATGTTGAAAACAGCTGTGCTGCACAATATTTTTGTGGAAACCGTGATACATTTTTTTTTCAGGATTCACAGATGAACAAAGTTCAAAAGAACAGCATTTATTTGAAACAGAAATCCTTTGTAACATTATAAAAGTCACTTTTGATCATTTTAATGCATCTTTGACAAATAAAAGTATTCATCTCTTTAAAAAAAGAAATCTTACTGAGCGAGATGCTTATTTATTGATCTGTCTTTAACATGTTGAATGCTCACAGATGCACTGTTTTTCATTCCTCTCTCTTATCTCTTCTGTCTTCAGGGATCTCAGCAGTAATCTCATTAGCAGAATCAGCCCCGGCGCCTTTCATGGCCTGACGGCTCTGAGGAGATTGTACGTATGATTATGGCCTCAGAGATGTGCATGAAACCCAATCAGCATGTTTTCTAGGTGCTACAATGCCTCTAGAAATGTTTATGCAACTAGAATCTCTTATAACATGACAATATGTCCTTAAACCGCTGTTGCTCAAAGATGATTTGTCACAGCTACAGTGCTCAGCTACAAATCGCGATTCATAAAACAAGATAGTTCCGGTCCTTGATTCTGATTGGCTGAGCCGCGTTCGAAGCTGTTGTAAATTACTCTACAAAGTAACATACACCTTTGTTTACATTTGTGTGTTGCTCGGCAACCACTTTGTTGCAACCACAACTGTTTCTGAGGAGCTACATTGTTTGGTGGAAGAATACTGTTTTTATTAATATCATTACACTTTATTTGCTCTGTTTTATTCTGTGAAACCTTACTACGTATATGGAATAACCGTTTTATAAAAGCAATAAGCCCCGTGAAGCCGTGCTTTACAGTGCATTTATAACAGCTAACTCTGCTTCACGTCGTGCCTAACAACCCCCCTTAGATGTTATAAATTCACTGTAAACCACGGCTTCTTGGGGCTCATTGCTTTAGTAAATAGAAACCAAAAATGGACATTTTGACACCATTCTATCTGTTGTAAATTTAACGGCAGATCCAGAAGCACCACAGAATGGCGAACTGAAAAAGTATTCAGTGTTTTTAAACTTCTAAATTGGAGCTCACATCTTTATGCGGCACTTTTGAGAATCAGAGGATCTGAAGGTTCGTTTTGCAGTGAAGAGGCTTTTATCATCTCGACATGCAGACATTTAATGTGACACTGATTGTGGATGTGCGTGTGCCAGGCTGCTGGATGCATGTATAATTTAAGCGGCAGGTCTCAGTGCTAATTTAAGAGCTCCCAACCCATGATTACAGCATTGAACCGAACCGCTCCCACTGCACCACAGCAGCGCATGTTTCTCATTACAGCTGATAAAAGTAACCGATTCAGTTATGGATGCCGATCCAGAAACCGGGTTGATCTCTCATTGTTGGAGTGATTTAATGGAGACTCACTTGTGATAACTGTGACTATATCAACATGCAATATCGTTAAGACAAGACTAAAGTGTGTTTTAAAAAATAAAAACTGTACCAAAATGTATTTAAATTTTCGTCGAAAAAAAAGGAGACAAAATATTATCGGACTGCTGTACACGCCTCTACTGCACCAGCATTCATGTGTGTGGTTGCCAGATATAAAGAGTTCAAATCCGCAAATCAGAGCTTCTCTTCACTGCTGAAGCGCCGACGATGATCTGAAAACACAGACAAACAAGTGAACTGAAGTTCAGCTTAAATGAAAGCGTCGTTCAGCCTCTCTGTGTTCTGTCACGAGATCTCGACTGTTTTGTGTGTGATTGTGTTTGCTGAATACATGCACTTACTCAACCGCTGCTGCTTTAATAGAGAAACATTATTGCAATTTGGAATTATTACCATTAGGAATTTTACTTTTAAAATAGATTTTGTTTGTTTTTGCCAGTTTTCATAATGTAGACAGAGAGTGCATATCTAAGTATTTTATATTAATTCATATATTAAATGGTCTGTAATAAATCAGTTGACTAGATGAGGTCAAATTAAGTCCACATTCTATTGATTTGTGCATATTGGTGAAAGTGCAATTTTGAGTAAAAAAAAACAAATCAAAATCTTTTTTTTATCAGTTTAGCTATTATACAGCGTGTGTGTGTGTGTGTGTGTTTGTACCTACTTAACCATATTTTGGGGACAAATTTATACCCACAACTGAGCAAAACCTGACAAAATCACCAAAAAACTCAATTTGGGGACGTCCTCATTTGTAAAACTGGTATAAAAAATAAAGTAAACAAAGTTCTCCTTCTTGGGAACTCAATGCTGCGCCCCCTAGGGGGCACATTGGGGAATGTAGCCTCCATGACCGGTGTCTGAAGCACGTGTGAAACAACGCCAATCTATTGGCCCACCTGGCCCATGATGTCATAGGCGGGATGCCCGGAAGTATAAAAGGGCACCTGCTGAATACGTTGTCCTCTTTGCTGTCTTCAGGAGCCGTCTGTTTGAAGTGCATGTGAGAGACCAAGGCAGGTGAGCGGTGTGGAAGTGTGTGCCTCCGTTCCAGAGATTTCTGGCACTTGAGGACGCGCACGATCTATCTGTCATCTGTTTTGGTCAGGAGCTCATTGTGAGTGTTATCCAATGAGAAGCTCCATTCGCGTTTGTCCCTGTTCTCGAGAGATGAGTGACAAGCGTTTGCTTCTCGCGGTTTGGGTCCCGCTGTTGCCGAGGCACGGCGAAGACTCGGATCTCGGGATTTGCAGGGTTGAGATGCCCTTTTTGGGTTATCGGATCCCACGGATAAGGCTAGA